AAAAAAAAAAAACGCACAAAAATGATTCCCTTCTCAACATAGCTAAGAAAACACGACTCGACCAACAGTCACATGACCAAAATTTGGCGAATATTTGGCTGAACTGCAGGCAGTGTTCACACAGAGCAGAGAGGTGAATAATTTAGAGATTGACAACAAAAAAAAACATGCTTGATCAATAAAATAGTGCAGCATGGTTCATGGAGGAGCAAGTTGTTGGAGGATACATTCTTCATGGTGAAGCATCTTTATAGAGTGACAAAAACAGAGTTGGTCGAAATAGTACAAATGCAAGTAGTTAAACATTTTTAGTCTGAACAGCTGCATTTTATTCCTGTATTGGTGGCACTTGTGGGGTTTTTTGGTAAAGTGTTGTCCATGTTCTTACCAAGGAATTTGACGTTTGCTTTTTGTTTCTTCCTTATTTAGGATTTATGGCATTTTAACTGTATCGTGCTGCACAAAGAAAACATTCCTGAGTGTTCTCTCTACCACTAGTCATGGCTGTGCTGTAAAAACGGAGCAAAAATGCAACAGGAGCCCAGAAATTGCTCGGAATTCAGACGGTTAATAACAAAAACATCAGAGAACCGTGGCTAAAGGCTTAACCCTCAAATGCAGGGGCTTGTTTTATTTCCAACACTCCTACATACGTCCTCAGCAGCAGCCGGCTCTTACATAAGGCAGATTAAACCACATATTAAAATTCTGCTGCTTTTTAAGCTTTTCGGAGCGTAGTATTAACAAAAACAAGCACACAAACAAGTGTTTTTGGAATTTAGAATTTTTACACTCATTTAAACACATCAGAAATCTTTTTATTATTATTTTGTTTTTACTGGATTTATTATTATTTCTGATATGGTTTCTGCTCGCTGCACGGCTGCTGTAACTTTATATCATGAGTCCTGTAAACCCAAATTATTCAACATAATAATCACATGCTTGTGGTTATAGTACAGAGCTGATGTGTGGATGGACAGATGAGGCATTTTTTTATGAAAATTTTCAGTTGAAGTGATTCTGTTTCTGGACAAACTGAAGACTTTTAAAGCCTCGATCAGCTTTTGGAAGTTGTGGCTCCTGTTTCTTTTTCTGCAGCTGCTGAAGGTTGATGAAGTTTGTGAGATTTTCTAGCTTCAAGCTGCAAATTTTTCCTGGAAATTACTCGTGTCTTTATAGCAGCAGCACTGAGGCAGTTAGAATAACTACAGTCCCTCATCAGTTCAAACTTCTCTCGAGAAGCTAATTGAACACTTTTTTTTGTCATTCCAAGCTTAAAGACAGAGTCATGTTCATGCTCTGGTTCTGCTTTTAAATGATGTGCAAACACTCTCTAATCCTTATCTTCAGCAGCCTCGGGTTCACCTTTTTTTTTTTTGCAGAGTTGGTGATGTCAAAACACTTAAACATCAGATAAGAAATTGCAGTTCTGCTGTAAAGCTTTAACTCAGATGCTGCGGTTCAGCCCACTGCAGCTGCTTCACGATGCTTTGATGTTCAGATTGTGTCACTGACTGTCTCTGTTTTCTGTCTGCAGCTCAAATTGAAATCATCCCCTGTAAGATCTGTGGAGATAAATCATCAGGGATCCACTACGGCGTGATCACCTGCGAGGGCTGTAAGGTAAGCCCCGCCCTCTGCTCTACATCATCATCTCACCTGTTGAAGTTGAGGCTCCTCACAGGTGTTACCGTATCACCTGACCTCCTCAGAATCGGATGATTTTTTTTTACGTACTGTAACTTTAGCATATTTAATGAAGCCATGCAAAGTTTTACCTTCATACTATGAATATTTTCAGAGTTACAGGCTCCAGAAATACATAAAGGTGGGTTTAAATTTCATGCTTTTTTCAACATTTTTGATTCCTTATAACTCCAAAAGTCCAGACGATCGAAACGTGAGAGTTTCAGAGATGAAAAACGCATGCAAACAAGTCAATTTCATCCACTCAAAATGTAAAAATCTCAAGACAAACTCTTCATTTTTGTTCCAAGCAAGCATTGGTGCTCTGGATGTGTTTTCTGATAATTCACCAGAAAAAAAACTTTATCTTGAGTACATTTTGGGTAAAGTTTCAAAGTCATATCAGCATGTGGGATGGACAAGACAAGTTATACTCTTGAAAATAAATAGAATATAATGTAAATCTACATTAGACAATCATTTTGTCACTGAAGGAATCAGGGCTGGATGATCAGAAATGTGGGTTAAATCATCTGCTAGAACTAAACTTAAGTTGATAAGTGCCCAATTCCACCCACAACTATGGGCCACCAGGCCATGTGACATATCTAAAATATTAATAGTATGAAGAGCTTCATTAAATATACTAAAGTTATTGAACATTTAAACAAAAATCAACTGATTCCGAGGAAGTCAGGTGGGAAATTTTTTCCAGTAAATCCAGTAAAGTTCTGCTTCTTGGCCCAGTTCTGTTCTGAAACAGCAGAAACACTTTTTTCAACCTGTAAACCTGCATTTCCACCAGTTTGCAGTAGAACCGTGGTGTCACCTGGACCACAGACTTGTTTTATGTCAACACGGTGACATCGTTTGTTTAACTTCAAACTCAAATATTTGCTTCAGTCCAACACAGTTGCATGAAATAATTATTGATGTTAGATAATCACAGGCAGATGTTAGATGTTAGATAACCCTTATTGTTTTTCCCTTTTAAATAAGATGCAGCCACTGATGGTGGTGGTGGCAGCAGCGAAGAAATCTACTAAGAATATACTTATTTTACAGATATTTCCCATTATTAAAAAGAAAAAAGGTTGCTAGATTAAGCATTAAAAAATAATGGAAAAATATTGCTAATAAAAAAACACTAATTTTGCAGGTTTTCTCCGTTGTTAAATTACAGATAATACTAATTAAAGTCACAGGAAAGTAATATTTTACATGCTGCCTGTAAAATAACAAACAAACCAAAGGACAAGCCAAAATTGTAAATAATGTTAATATCAAAAATCATTATTTTTTTCTTACAAATAGTAATTCACTCCATTGCAATGCATGAATATAAAATTAAACCATTTTACTCTATTTAAATCAGCTAAAATATCTAAAATATTGTTTTATCGATATTTGCTGTTCTTTCTATTGTTTTTACAGTTTTTGAACAGTATTTTTATAACCATTTTCTGTGGTTATATCATTATTTTTGTTTACCGTGGGTATGTACGTTGTGTGTGCAAGAAGCATTGCAGTTGCATATTCGTCATCACATCAGCAGACTAAACACTAAAAATCGCAGCCAGAGAGCAACTGCACAGCTAAAGTCACAGAATAATAGTTAACTGAGCACCTAAAAGTTAACATTTTCTAGTTCTTGTGAATTTTTTGTCTCAGAAATGACATTTCTTTGCTATAGTAGTTGATTTTGACTGTACTTTGGCTTTGGCTCAAACCAAAAGCTAACTACTAGATATTTGCAGCTTCCCTCAGCAGACACTGAAGCCTGTTTCAGTCATTTATCTTCACCTTGTTGTCTCTGAATGACAATTAAAGTGACATTTTGGTTATTCAGTTTGTTGTGTTTAACCTCATAAACAAGACAGCAGCCAAACCTGTTCATGATGCAGAAGTAAGTAAATAAACTGAATTAATGCTGGTGAATTTTATATAACTTTGTGGTTAAACTTCCTTTAATTCACATCCCTGATACATATGAAACTGTAAATTAATCTGTTACAGTGACGACAGTATAAGTATTATTAGTACAGGGACATTTATGGATTCCTATAAGCTGAAATGATTCGTATAAATCGTCCTCCACATTGCTCAGACAGCTGGCCAGCTTCATCCTGTTTCCTCCACATCAGCCTCCACAGACTGAGTCTCATTAACCGAATCGGAGGAAACGTTTGACGCCGGGTCTGGACCATCAAGTCTGGACCGTTTGGCTCGGAAATCTTTGTCCCTCCAGTTCAAACGCTTCCCCAAACAAGCTGGTGTGTTCAGCTGCAGCAGCTGCCGATGAGACAGCTGGAGGCTCGTTTCACAGCCGCCGAGCAGCTGATGGAGATTTATCTTGGTACAAACAGAGGCTGATGGGAGCCTCCGAACGAGCATCGATAGCGCAGGTTTACAACACCCACCGAGGCCTGAACTTTAGTGGAAACATCACAGCAGCCTGGTGTTTGTTTGTTTTTTGTTTTTTTTTACAGTTGTCTCAGAGGCGGCCCCTACTGGCCATCAGAGGAACTTCAGCATTTAGTCACGGTGGCTGTTGCTGGTGTTTTTTATTCACTGTAGGTTCATTTTTCACTGCAACATAAAGTCCTGCACCTCCATGGAAACAGAACAACCATGACTAGAAGTAGAGAGAACTCAGAAATGTCTCCTGTGACATGTTAATGCCATCATTCATAAAGTAAGACAAAACAAGTTACATTTTTTAAATTATTTGTCTTACAAAAGTTGTAAAAACCAGCAGTCAGCATGTGCAACAGTTCCCCAAATGTCCACATGTGATACTAATACTGGGGTAAAAGATAGCAAAACATGATATTTTACAACCTCAACACGTGTTTCAAATACTGGAGGGTGGAAATGGCCACTTTACATACTACAAATGTTTAATTACTTAATTTAAAAAAAAAAAATTCCATCCTTGTGTGCACTCTACTCTGTGTAAACACTGCCTGCAGTTCAACCAAGTTCAGCCAAAGACTCCCTGAATTTTTGTTACATGACTGTTGGTCACAGCTGAGTCACTAATGGCTCCCTCAGTTACGTAGAAAAGAGCAGAATTTTTTTGTTTTTTACAGAATCCGCTTGGAGTAATCAGTTAATATTTGGCAAACTTTTAAATAAAACATGTAGAAAAAATAAATAGCTGTTTAATTTTTTCAGAAGGTACCACATGTCACAGATGAGTAGTTCAGGGACATCTGGAAAGTTGGTTGATTCTGTACAGTTTGTCGGCTGATAAATGGTGCGATCTTGGCAATTTATTTAAAGACAACATGCCTGTTAAACCTGCCAGAGAGTTTTAGGATTCAGAAGTCTAATTTTGTTCTTTTGACAGAATGTCATCAGGGACAGTTTCTTTTTTTTTTTTTATCTTTTAAACTCATTTTTAGATTTCAGCTGTAACCATTTTTGTTGCGTACAGTTAACATTAACGACATTAACGATAAATTTTCAGTGACTGTTCCACACATGACGTCTTGTCACAACGTTTCTCCCTGAAGCCTCGTCTCAACATTTACATCAGCGATGTTACATGTTTCATTACTGAGGTTTTCTTCGTAAAACAGTTTTTTTTTCAAGCTGCTCGGGGCTGCATAGGCCAAGTGTGAACTGTGAAACAGGGAAGTAGATTTGACTTATAGACCCACAAGTCTGAAAACATGAAGCAGTAATATTGCATGTCATAACCTGGCTCCTGGGTTTTTAACAAATATGGTAAGGAACACAGATTTAACTAAAAATAAGGGTATTTATTTTAATCAAAAGCAAACCATTAACAAATAATAGCCAGTATGGTGTGTGATTATCAGTAGTGTAGGTGTGAATGAGTGAACATGATGGGATGTAAGGTGTCGTGGAGCAGAAACAAAGCAAAAACGTAACGACGTGTCACCACCAACAAAGCAGGATCAGAATGAATGAGAGAGACAGCAAGAGAGGGATGCTGAGATTTATGGGCCGTCCTGATGCCTTCAGGGACCCACAGGTAAACGGAATTCTAGGCCTCCATGGCAGCAACCGACATTGGACCGTCACATGCAAAATAGCTTGTCCGTCCATCCATCCATTATCTATACACCGCTCAAATCAACATTTTACAACTCTGAACGTTTTATATAGATCTTTTTTGTCACTAAAAATTTGAATTGTGCTTGTTTTAGCAGTTTTATGTGCACTCCCATATGTTTAGCTCTTTTATAGTAAGAGCTTGTTCTTTGATTGGTGTTTTATTTGATTTACAAGAGATCGTTTGCTTTATTGGGTCATCTCTTATATTTGCATCTTTTGTTGTTCATATACTTTTTTTTTGTTAAAGCTGTACTTAAATTTGATCTATTTTATGTAACCATGGCTGATTTTTATCTGATTTTACATATTTATATACATGAAATTTCTTCTTTTGTTGTGCACTTACACTTCTGTTTGTTCATGTGATGATTTAGTGCTTCCCTGTTCCTGAAAGTTTTGTGCTTAAGTTTGAAAAGTGCTACAATAGGTAACTTGGTATGTAACATAATGATCTCAAAGAAAATAAATGTAATCTACACAGAATGTGCAGGACCAGTAAAATATTAAATCCAAGCCCAACATCTAGGTGTTGGGTGCGATGACTTTCTGACTTGGAAGTAAGGCGTAAGATCTGATCTTACGCCTTACTTCCATGCAGCTCCGTGTTCATGTACGAATCAACCAGAAAATCCATTCATTCCTGTGAGATCCAATGTGTTTGTGAAACTCCTGTTTTTTTTTTTTGCAGAATTTGCCTCGAGTACATTGAAAAGTTTCAACTTTTGCGGCACATTACGGAGAAACCAGATTAGCTAACAGGCTGTTCGGTGGTTTGACATATTGACAGTCAAATTGTGTACCTATGTATTTAGAAAATAAACTCGTTTAGCTGGCTGAACTACAGAGAACACACATACTGTTGTGGTTTTTACATCCTTCAACAAAATATCTCACTGAACTGGCTCCACTGGTGGCAGAATAACCTCCTTATTTATGTCTTAGTCCTGTTTTAGTGGCTGTAATGCTTCATGTTCCATAGAACTACTAGATGATACAAACTGATGAGCTTCTCTCTCTGGAGTGAAGTTTTCATCCATCTGTAATCGAATGTGTTTCCTTGTTTTGAATCATTGTATTCTATCGATTTACAGACTAGATTTGTCTACAGATCCTATAAGACATCTCTTGTGTCGTCTGTCAGGGCTTCTTCAGACGGAGTCAGCAGAGCAACGCCACCTACTCGTGTCCTCGCCAGAAAAACTGCCTGATCGACCGGACGAGCCGGAACCGCTGCCAGCACTGCCGTCTGCAGAAATGTCTGGCTGTGGGAATGTCCCGAGACGGTGAGACTCACAACCGAACCACACACACACACCGAACCACACACCGAACCGCACACACCGAACCACACACTGTCACCTGCACAAACATCTGGCAGGCAGCTGCAACGTGTTGTCAGCAGTTTGATACCTGAAGTCTGTTTCTTCACTAATTAGTTCTCCACCTGGTCTATTATTGATACAACACAGGTGAAGGGAGTGTGAATGAACACGCCCACTTTTTAGAGTAATCCAATTACATCTAAAAATGATTGAAATCTAAACTTACAGATTAGGATAAAAATGCCTCTGTGAGACTTTAAAGGTGATTTTTCTCCCCTTCCTTCCTGACATGCTGCAAATGTCTCATACATTTATGACTAATCCAACTACCCATCCATCCATCCATCATCTATACACCGCTTAATCCTCACTAGGGTCATGGGGGACTGGAGTCTATCCTAGCTGACTTAGGGTGAAGGCAGGGGACACCCTGGACAGGTCACCAGTCTATCACAGGGCTACACTTAGAGACAGACAACCAAGCACACTCACATTCACACCTACAGACAATTTAGAATCACCAATTAACCTCAACATGTTTTTGAACGTGTGGGAGAACATGCAAACACCACGCAGAACGATCCTGGGTGTCCTCACCGGGACACGAACCGGTGACCTTCTAGCAACGAGGCGACGGTGCAAACCACTGACCACCTTGCAGCCCATAGCACCAAACATAATCAACAAAACTTTTTCGACTAATAAGTGCTGATAAATTTCCTGACTCATATTGGCAAACTCTTTGACAAGTTTCTGGAAAAAAAAACTTAGTAAATATCAGTCTATTATCCAACAAATGTGAGTGAAGTATTCAGCAAACTTAAAGTAGAATACTTGAGTGCAGTTTCTGGGTACAGTTCCATTTTCTGCTACTTCTTGTACATTTTAGAGGTAAATATTTGTTACTCCACAACATTAGTTACTAAATTAATAAAACAAAGTATGATCAGCTAAGTGCTTGTTACTTTTCTGACTCATATCAGCAAACTCTGTAACAAATCTCTGTGAAACATTTGATAAATATTAGTTTACGGTCCAACAGATGTGAGTAAAGCATCCTAACGTGCAGTAAATCACAGTGCTTCAGTTTTCTGGTCCATCTGAGCTGACTTCTCCTCGTCCTCCCTCACAGCGGTGAAGTTTGGTCGCATGTCTAAGAAGCAGCGCGACAGTTTGTACGCTGAGGTCCAGAAGCATCGTCTCCAGCAGCAGCAGCAACAGCAGCAGCAGCAGCAGCAGGGCTCCCTCCTCCTGACCCGGCCCAGCCTCGGCAGCCCGAGCCCGGGGGAGGCCGAGTCTCTGTCCCCCCACTACACGCTGTCCTCCAGCGGCCTCACAGAGCTGCCCGACGAGGCCGGACGCTACCTGCAGCAGGACTCACCTGAGGGAGGGTCGCTGTCATCCAAGGTCTGTGGATTTCTCTCTTATGTCACCTCAGTTCACCAGACTGTTGGGAAACTTTGCTCCTGACAATCTCATATTTGTGTGATTTATTGTCTCTGCATGTTATTAAGTAGAACTGAGTCAGTAATGAGTAAAACTCTGGTCACAGGTGTTATCCAAATTCTAAAAGAAAGTGAGATCATTTGATTTTTGCGTTGTTTTCTTAGCACCAATCTGTGGATCAATGTTTGAAATGACATAAATTGAGAAATATTTAGCTGGAGTCCTGAAATGTTGCAGGCTCATTAATATGTAACTCTTATATTTAATGGCACAGCCCTGCTTTGATAGAATAAAACAAACCAGTTATATGATGGTGCAAATTTGGTCAAAATAGTTTTTTGTCTATATTTCACCAACCATAAAACCATTATTTTTTTCCCCCTAAGAGGCAGATTTTTTTTTTTTCCTGGGATTGGCACCAGTAGGAGCTTTGGATTATGGTGCCAGTCATATTTAAAGCTCCTATTGGTGCCAATCACAGGGAAAAAAAATAATTTAAAAAAATCTGCCTCTTAGGGAAAAATAAAGATTTTATGGTCCATGGAATATCGACCATAACAAAAAGCATTTTTTCACCAACTTTGCACCATCATTTAACTGGTTTGTAATTTTCTATAAAAGCAGGGTTGTACCATTAAATATTAAATGTGCATATCAATGAGCCTGCAACATTTCAGGACTCCAGCTACAATATTTCTCAAGTTATGACACTTTAAACATTGATCCACAAATTGGCACGAACAAAACGCTGCAAAAATCAACCTCACCTCCCCTTCCTTAGGAATTTTTAACTCAAAAACTAATGTCACCTCTGGGCTCAGGTTTACACATGATCAACTCAGTCAATATTCACCACTTAAAAAAAAAAAAAAAGATGGTCAGGTGTGGCGCATTCGGTGAATTGAGGCAGAACGACCCGGTTGAGAACAAACTGCCAGAATTCCCTTCAGGTTCTGACCTCGTCTTCTACCAACAGGCAGACTCTGGTGGAGGAGGAGGGGAAGGTGGAGGTTTCTACCTGGACATCCAGCCGTCTCCGGACCAATCAGGGCTCGATATTAACGGCATCAAACCGGAGCCTCTGTGCGACTATGGATCCAGCAACGGATTCTTCCCGTACTGCTCCTTCAGTAATGGAGACGCGTCGCCCACCGTGTCCATGGCCGAACTCGGTGAGTCGAGGAGATACTTAGTCAAACACTGTCATTATGATATGTTTAAAAGGAGGAAACATTCAGATGTTCAGAAACCAAACCCTCCTCTGAAGCTGCTTTCAGATTCATTTACAAAAACATTTAACAAACCGGTCTCATGTTGCTTTTACGTGAAACCCACAGCTGTGGTTCGGTGCGTAGAGCAGCACTCGTCACAGGGCAGCTAATCAGACAAATATCCACAGTTTCTGGCATATTCAATTAATAATCCCAAATATAATCGACAAATAAATCATGGTGTGTTAGTGTTGGACTTTTAACATCAAATGATCGTGACTTTTCTGAAGCATTTCAGCTACATATCCAACAAACATCTGTAAAACATCTGGCAAATATTAGTTTAGTGTCCAACATGACACTAAAATACCCAACAAATTTTAAAGACTAATTGAAAAAAAATACCACTAACTTAGAGTAAAACATAGTGCTTGAGTACGATCTTGAAATGCTTATTATGACATCAAATATTCAAAAAATATCTGTAGAACGTATTTATCAGTAGATATTAATTTACTATCCAACAAATGTGAGTAAAATATCAACATTAAATACTGACAAAATATCTGATGTATATTAATAACATGTCTGTTAACCCTGTAGAGCCTGAACCATGAAGGAATTGCCAGGAAATTCACATTTTTTAAATGAATTTTTCTATCGAACCATCTGACAAAATAAAAGAATAAAATGAATTAAACATCAGTTTTCATGTTCGAGTTTTAACTTGTATCGTTTCTGCTACAGCCGACATTTTTGGTGCCTGAATTCCACAACATCAAGTACAGTTGTGGCTCAATAATCCGACCCTTAACAATCTGAAAACTTTGCTATCTGACAGGTTTTTAGGAAAAACGAACAGAACCCATAAAAAAAAGCCTTAACATACCGACAGCTGTGGATTCTGACTCCAACATCACATTTTATGTCACTAATGAGGATAATGGCGTATTATCTGACTGAACAATCCGACAGATTGGCTATGTTCAGTCTGCAGGACTTAATGCTCAATTCGGATTTTTTTGTGAAATCTGATATTTTGCGAGTTCGTTCACATTTCCAATTAAATGCGACTTGTATGTGATCTGCTGTGTGAACTTCATACGACCCAAAAGTGTCCCGCATGCGCAGAAGAGGACACGACGACGTCACACAAAACGATCGTGCTCAGTGTTTATAGAAGTGAATGCAGATGGTAACGGTGGAGCTTATCTGCTACTTCCCTGCCGCCGCCACCACCCATGTTGGAAACAGAACTGTGACCGCTATCCTAAACTGGCATGTGCGTTCCAGCCACTTCCACCTCGTTGGAGCGCACCCCCAGGGTGGAAGTGGCCGGAACATGCACAAGCGCACCGGTCAGTTAGGCGTGAAATCCAGCGGTGCGTAGTGTTTTAACAATACACTAGTTATCATAACAACTATAAACAATAAATATTAACAATAAATGACCCTTCAAGCATCAAGCCCTCCTTGTATCTTGACCTCCGTCTTGACAATCCGACAGCCTTGCTATTCGACATAAGAGACATTTAGTATCAGATTATCGACTGTACTCCTGTTGTCCTCTTCTATGGTAAACGGTGGTCACTGTAATAAACAAAATGTTAACTGCACCTTTATGAGACAATTAGTAGCATTCACTGTAAAGTATGAAACTGATGTATGTGATTTCTAAACCATCATCTTGACACAAATTTAATGCTGCAACAGCTTGATAAGAATCTTGAAACTCAGTTGGCTTTTGGATTTATTGGCCCTTTCTGGACGCCCCAATGAAACATTTCTGCAGGCACCACTGCATGCAGCACGTGGACAAATAGGAAGGACAGTCAGTCTCTGGAGAAGGAGTTGCTCTCTGATAACGTTAGATAATGAGACTGAAGGGAAAACCTATGAGTGAGGAGCCACGAAGGTGAGAAGACATAAGAAACACTGAGGTAGAAGTCACCGACTTTGTGTTTAAATGACAAAACAGCATCACTTTAACACGTCTGAAAAAGGCTTTTGGGCAAAGAAGCAGCGAGGAGAAACAAAGGAGGAAAAACTTTGAGCGTTTTAAATCCCTGCAGAGCGGCTCAGTTTGACTGTGACCTCCTGTAACGGGTAAAACAACAGTGTCCAGTCGTGGCGCTCTGAAAAACAGAAAAACAAATAAAGGATCCGGCGTTTGGGTGGAAGGTTGCCGAGGCCTGCGGGGGGAAAAAGCAAACCGAGAAGATGAGGAAATACGCTGAAAGAGGTGAAGCAGAAGAAAAAAAAGAAGCCACAGAGGAGCGCTGGAGACAGAAAGGTGGTTTAAAATAGCAGGAGGCTGGAAACTCATCTTCAGAGCTCATTAAAATCTCTGTGTGGTAATTAGCTGTCTGTTAATTAGGGCCGACTGGGACGTGGCGGGGCGCTCGTTGGGGGAAATCATCGTCTTATTGTCTCTGGAGAGTTTTCCGTTCACTCCTTATTGTGCTAACCCCGACAGGCCCGGCCCAACACGCGCTTCAGTTTCTAACCTTGTACTCTGTTGTTTTGATCTCTGCTGTTATTTCATGTTCATTCGCTCGAGCTGCACAATTAGAGAAGCTCAACACAACAGCGGTTTGTTTCTGATCTGAAGCTGCGTTCAGGAGCAGTTTGTTGACACATTTTTATACAGAAGTAGATGAAACCGCAACAAAGTTCGGTTGTAGTTTTGGTTCAGTCTGGACCTCTACAGGCCACAACATTTGAAGGTTTTACAATGTTGGAGCTGCAACGGTTAATCGATCAGCTGTCAGTAATTTAATTTATCTCCAACTATTTAGAATATTGATTATTGGTTCAAGTAATTTTTTATGAAAAAAAATGTTAAATGTGAATATTTTCTGGTTACTTTACTCCTCTAAGACAGTAAAGTGAATATCTTTAGACAAAACAAGACATTCTAGGGCATCATCTTGGACCTTTTCTGACATTTAGTAGACCAAACAACTAATCAATTCATTCACAATAATCAACAGATAAATCAAAAAGGAAAATAATAGTTGGAATCGGTCAAAGAAGAACATGATTGGCTGGTGTTTCATTGAATTATTGGGGGAAAAAAAATGGTGAATCCAGCTCAACTTTGACCGCAAGTGTTTGGTGTCAGCGCAGCTTTAAACTTTGATATTAAATGCTCGTCTTAATGCAGAATTCAGGAGAACTGGATCCTGGTTCTTCTCCCAACTTGCCACATAAGTACATCTTTGTCAAGACTCCTTGGTGTTGAATTTGAACGCACTGGTTACCTTACGGGGTCATTTTTAATGTGCAGGGTAGCCCAGTAGACCTGTACAAATCAGAATATTAGAAATAGATGTCAGGAGTCTGTAGTCAAATATTCTCTGCTGGTGTCGTCACTGTTGCTCCTGTTTAGTCAACAAAAAGTTTTCTTTTAGTTGTCAGAAATTAACCAGACAGTCATGTGGAAGTTACGTACAGTCGTCCTCAAATATATTCATATCCTCCCAATAAAGAAGGAAAAAAACAGTTGTTACTGAAATAAGATGAAATTGACAAAAGTAAAAATAAATAAAAACAAAACAAAACAAAAAAATTCAGGCATGATGGGACCATAATGGGTTACCGACCCCTGGTCTAAACAAACTATGGTTACTATGCCTGTCAAAATAAAAAAAAATTCAAAATAAAAAAACAAATCCAACCTGAGACGCACATTATAAATTATTTAATTTTGACCAGCTGTCTGCGATCCACCCAGAACAGGTCCGCAACCCAAAAGTGGGTCCCACCAGTTGAGAACCCCTGGTATAAAGCACATTTAAAAAAAAACAACAGGAGTTTAACCATAGTGCCGTGTAATTCCAAAAAGCAGCCCATAAGACATGAACACAAAGACTAACAGACAAATCTGAATGACAACACAATAAAATGAAGACAAATGAAATGTACAACACAGTAAAAAAGGGTCAAACTCGACTTGGATTGAACACCAAAGAGGTTCAGCAGCGACTTTTTTTCTACAGTCTCAGCAGATCTTACATAAAAAGGCAATTTCCGTTGTGTTATTCTAATACGACGAGTGATCCCAGGAAACATTGGTGTTGCCTGCCATGGTGATGGTTTTTGGATTTGGAGTTGTTCAGATTCAGAGCATTCAACTTGGTAATTTCCAGCTTTGGAGTCTGCTGTGACGGATACGTGAAGGTCCCTGGACCTTGTGTCTGAGTCCCCCTCACTGATGTTTGCTCTGTTCCAGATCACCTGGTCCAGATCATCTCCAAGTCTCACCTGGAGACGTGTCAGTACCTGAAGGAGGAGCTGCAGCAGATGAGCTGGCAGAGCTTCGAGCAGGACGAGGTGGAGACGTACCAGAGCAAGGTGGGTTCACTCATACGTGGATATAGATTCTGTTGCTCATCTGAAGTCTGCAACTGCCCTTCTACCCAGCAGTGTTTATCAGGGTTCCCCTCAAAGTGTTTCACAGCCAGATGAGATGTTGAACTTCTCCATCGTGTTCTGGGTCGAGCTCAATGTCTCCTATCAGCTCAGAAAACCTCTAGAACACATCCTGAACTGATGCTTGAGCCACATCAACTGGCGAATTAGATGCTGCAACAACACCAGGCAGCGTACCTGTGCATTTTGATTCTCTTTAGCTGCTAAATGTTTGGTTTTAACCTCCTCCTGCTGTGTTTTCTGTGCAGCCGCGGGAGGTGATGTGGCAGCTGTGTGCTGTGAAGATCACCGAGGCTATTCAGTACGTGGTGGAGTTCGCCAAACGCATCGACGGCTTCATGGATCTCTGCCAGAATGACCAGATCGTGCTGCTGAAAGCTGGTGAGAGCAGAATTTGATTTTATATCACTAATCTCACAACATCTTTATATTTACCCAGAAGCTGGATAACATTGAACTTTTTATTTCTTAAATCCAGTCACTACAAATGACGTAGCTCAACGCAAATCAGACGGTGGTTGTTCTTACAGACAGGTTTTATGTCTACAGTCACAAGGATGCGAGGAGGACTGTGATATGTGGCAAAAAAATCTGAAACCTTTTAGTCTCCTGTTCTTTAAAAAAAATAAAAAATTAAAACTATCGCTAGCATTTATTTTCTTCCTTTTTCCTCCTCATAAGAAACGGACACCGAAACAAAAACACTAGTTTATTGGAAATGTGATTTGTCATTTCTTCATATTCTTAGCATGACGACTTAATCAGATTAATCCGTTGGATAGACTTTGTTTAATTTAACATTAATCGTCAGCGTATTGTCTTTCTCAGGTTCTCTGGAGGTCGTCTTTGTACGAATGTGTCGGGTGTTCGACTCTCAGAACAACACCGTCTACTTCGATGGGAAGTTTGCAGGTCCGGACGTCTTCAAAGCTTTAGGTGAGCTGGTTTTATCTGCTTTTTTAAATTTGTCCATAAAAGAATCTTTAAATATCACAAAGTTTTTACATTTGGCTGCAGTGGAAAAGTGGATGCATCAACTAGAGCAAAATGTAATGGAGCTCCTAAAACACACAAGTCAGATCACTTTATTTCATACAAGACACTTAAAACAGATGTTGACCCAAATTCAATTAATTCAATTCAATTCAATTTTATTTGTACAGCACAGTTTACAACATATGTCACCTTACAGACCCTAAATACTTTAAATAATAATACTCCCGTAAATGCAGCAATAGCTCCACTTAGTCGAGCCAATCAAATCGTTTGGTTACCCTGTACGGCCAGTGCACCACCACAGCTCGCTGCTGCTGCCACTTTGCGTTGCCTATACAGCAGAGCAGAGAGGAAGAGACAGTGATGACAGCATGGCTTGGTCCAAAAGAAGGAAGGTTGATGAGGAAAACCGTTGTTTTAAAGATGAGTGGACAGAGAAATGTATGTTCATATGTTCATTCTTCCGTCAGGCAGTTCACAACCAGTGTGCCTCATATGCTCTGAAAACGTGGCATTAATTAAAAGTAGCAACGTGAAGCGCCACTACAAAACAAAGCACAGCTCTTTAGAGCAAAGTCATCCCCTGAAGTCCAAGCTGAGGGCACACAGAATAACCGAGCTGCAAGCCCTATATGACAGATCTATCCGACTCACCAACGTGCAACGTGCAAACCAAACCTTTTATTTATTGTTTTCTGAGGATGTTGACTTTTTTACTTGAAGTGGAGGCCTTTAGTTCTTTAGGCTGGGACTTCTTTAATTTAAGAGATAAAATTCGGCTCTGTTTGCACTGTTTTGAATGTATTTTATTCTGAGGTTTTTGTTTTCCGTAATCTGAAATAAAAGCCTCAGTTTTTTGCCCAGGACTACTTATATATATATATATATATACATGGTAAAAGAGCTAACTGTGCACTCAGTTAAACATATCCTGCACTGAAAATTGTCCTTAAGTATTGTTGAAACCATGAAATGTGGCCATAGGAGAAGGCTATAAGACACAAACTGGACCTCGGTTTGGACCTTTTGCTTGAAGGAATTTTAAATAACTGGACCTCAGTGACCTTTAATTGAACACCCCTGCTCTACATGATCACTTAACTATAGATTATTATTTAAATAATAAAGTTAAAACCTGACAATATTATACAAATTTACTTGACTAATTTAAATACTAACGTAAATATCATTTGTTATTATTTATTTCATAAATGTACCGGACTAATTTAGAAGAGAACATCCCCATGTTTTCTTCATTATTTCCACCTTTGGAGCTTCAGCTGGCGCTCTGTCAATGCTGTCATCTTGTTTTGTTCTTTAGCTGTTTATTTCAGTGAACCACCTCCAAATATTAGCAGAATATTAATGGAAGGAAACTGGCTTTAATTCACAGATTCTTTTGCCAATTTTACTTAAACTTGGGTTAAAAATGTGCGCTGCATTTAGATGTAAAAGGCAGCTTCTGTTAGAGTCTGTCGCAGAGGAAGGCAGAGCAACATCTCCTTTATTCTCTTTGATTTAAAATGTAAATATTCCTGCGGACGCCAAAAGTAAAATCAGAAAACTGTAAATCTACATAATATGTGATCTTTATTGAGAACAGCATCAGATGAGCAGAAGTCATCAAAATACATAAAAACGGATGTTTTTGTTGTTTGACACTGCAGATAGATCAACTAACAAACATTCAGCACATAAGCACAAGTTTACAGTTGATTAAATGAATCCTTTCACAGATTTGTATTTGACGTATAAACGGTAAAATATCAGAGTGGCACGACATTTACAGACACATTTTACAAGTGTTTTCAAAAACAGTGTGATCACATATTCAGACTGAACAGAAAGTGTTTGTGTGAATGTGCAGAAAGAAAGAAAATACCAAATAGATGAAATCTCAACAAGGAAATACAATGAAACTCCTGTAAGTCTCTTAACGTGTTTCTCACAGGTCTTTAATGTGTTTTACAGGTTGCGATGACTTGATCTCGTCGGTGTTTGACTTCGCCAAGAGCTTGTGTTCGCTGCATCTGTCGGAGGACGAGCTCGCCCTCTTCTCGGCGTTCGTTCTTCTCTCCGCGGGTACGAATTCTCACTACAGTCTGTTGTAATCACCGGGCTGCAGCTGCTTCTCAGACTGAGTAACCGTGTGTTTGTGCAGATCGATCTTGGCTGCAGGAGAAGCTGCAGGTGGAGAAGCTGCAGCAGAAAACGCAGCTGGCTCTGCAACACGTCCTGCAGAAGAACCAGAGGGAGGATGGAGTTCTCAACAAGGTAAATGTTTGACCTCTTATCTAAAAGGCATCTTTATCTCCAGCTCGATGATGGGGTTGAGATCACATGTGGGTTGTTAATGTTCAGACAGAGCCTCGCAAGGGTCACAGCAAGTTCGTTTTTTTAGTTAGTTTAGTTTTTTTAAATTTTATATCTGCAACAACTTTTTGGTTGGTCTGAATGACATCGGTGATGTCTGTAATTTTAATTATGGATTGTTAAACTCAGCTATTAAATGTCAAAAAAACCATAATCCAGCTGCTGGTTGTGATAGTAAAGCTGTGGCTGGTTATTGTTCAGACAGACTGTGTTTATGTCCAGCCAATACACTGTCAGTCAGAGATCTGCCTTTTTAAATTAATAATCAGCAATAAATGCATCAAGTATCACATCGTCTCATGTCTTTAGAATCTGGAATGTTTCCCTAAACTGTCACCGTGTTAGAACTGGACTGGGCCAACAACAAACTGGTCATATGGATCAGAAAGACTGTGGAACATATTGAGAGTCAACTCAAAAGTAGTCGTCAAAAATCTCTTGCCATGAGGAGACTCCATAGTCCGCTTAATTAGTTGAGGAGGGTGTTAAACTGTCTGGATGTCAGGACTGTATGTAGGTTTCTGATAAGTGGTGTCATAGAGAACCTTCTCTGTTTAGTGATGGAGCTCCAGTTTGATGTCGATGTCATACCTCTATAGTTGACCGTCCTCATCCTTCAGGTGTACAATTGCTGAGTCTTAGCTTGAGGACTTTGCTCATCTGTGTTGTGAAGCACTAGTTTAGTTTCTCATCCTTGCATTGAACTGTGTACAGAGTGTAAACAGTTCCTCTTCAGCCTCAGTGTGTTTTTAGGCTTGAAGTGCACAGACAAGTTTGTTGAAGAGCTTTTCAGATTCTCCTGCAACATAATTGATAACAGTGTTGTTCTGTGTCTTTCTGTGTTTCTGACAAAGGTCCAGGTTGGGTGAAAACATATTTTAAGCTGCTTCTCTGATGTGTTTGTGCTCCTTCTCCTTCCCCTCTGTCCTTGTGGACTTGTTCTGACCCGATGGTATCTGGTTCTGATGCGCTCCAGGGCTGCTGAGAGTCAAACTGTAGATATTGATCAGTGTGGGAGGTTTCTGTCGTCTTCAACATGAACCATGTACACAGTCGAAGAAGGTTAAACTGTTTCCACTGACGTCCTCCTGAGTGAACTTGTTGTTGCTGCTGCACTGATGTGGTTTGTGAAGACTTCCTGTGATTTGATTCTGACCCAAATGTGATCCACATCATCCACATTGTAGACAGCAGTGAGCTCATGGCACCGTTGAACTTCTGTCTGTACAAACCTCATTATATTGTCAGTAGGTGGTTGTCAGACGGAGGAGGAGCAGAGATCATATGTGGTCTGAGGTGAGGTTGGTTCTGCTGGACAGAGTTCTGTCCTGCAGCACAAGTTTCCTTACAGTCTTTACAGCTTCCAGGATGCAGAGTGAATGACATTGTAGGTCACCATGGTTTCATCTGAGTCTAGCTTTATTTTTCTAACCTTGTAGGTAAATTCCTGGAGTTTCTGATGTCCTGTTAAGTGGTAGTAATCAGAGGAGCTAACATGGTGGTGAGATGTTTAATGATATTGTAGGTAACTTGTTGTTGAGCTGATGCTACGAATGGTGATTCTAAGAGAGGCTCCTATCTGGTGTATGTTGGGGAGTCCATGAATTCAGGTGGGGGTGCTTCCCAGGTTACAAATGGTAATCGGTTTGTCCTTTATCCAGTTGCTATAGGCAGTTTGTCACCTTATTCTTGTAGCTCCTGACAGGACGTTGTCTTAGTGTCAGAGGTGGTCATAAAAGACTGGACACCGTGGAAATCTGCTCTGTTCAGCACCACCAGCATCGTCCTGTATTAGTCAGCAGCACGGTGATGTTCTTGTGTCTTTCTGGTGATGCCACTGCTGTCCTTTGTTGAATGCTATGGTTGGAAGACGGTGCTTTATACCTTACGACTTCAACCTGAGCTGTTCTAAATGATCATCTTGATGGCTGACTCTCTGGTTGTGCTGAGGTCTACTACTGGTGTTTGTTCTCAGGTTACAGCAAAATCCAGCCCCTTGCCTCAGATATATTTTCTGAGGGTGTTTTCTCATAAATGTTTAAGTGTGTTGTATTCCCATCCTTTTCCCTACCTTTCAGTGGTCCTATTCTAGAGGAATCTCTACGTCTTGACTTTAATTATCTGTCATTCTTTGCCTTTGGTGTGTTGTGATGTTTGTACCTTTTCTACAAACTAAACTATTTCCTCCATGACTTTATTAGGTAGATGTGATGCCAGCTCCTCAAGCATCTGGTCAGTCTTCTCTGACACTGAGCAGCAGTTTTTTTTGTACTTCATCTTAACTTGCAGCCAACACAGAATAACTTCCAGCAGGTTCCAACATAAAGAGCAGCAGAGCTGAAAGAATTCCTCAGAAGGCGCTGAAACAGATGCTCAACAAAAGTAAAACAGGCTCAGTTCAGGTTCAAGATTGACCAGATGCTCAAGAGGCTGACATCACATCTACATGGAAAGTCCTGGAAAAAGAATGTGGGAAAGGCACAGACATCAGCACACACCAAGGGCAAAGGTGTGCAAATTCCAAACATTACAGTCACGACTTTGCAATTCCCGTAAAACAGAACCGACCTGGAGGGAAAATGATGAGAACACAACACAGCTGACATCCATTAGAAGTGGGTGAAAAAGTTAGTCAACAAAGTTCACCCAACCAAAGAAGGAGGTCTTTCTTAAGGAACTGAACTTTGCAAAAACAAATCAACAGTCGAGATAAATCTCATCATGGACACAAAGTCGGCCATCAGAAGTGATAATTTAGCAGACACATATGTGAAGGTATCAGCTGCCCTTACCAGTGAGAAAGCACAACCTTCCAACCTGACCAGCCAAGGAATCGGCTGCTACTGGCTGAAAACACACCAAACATCACCGTCCTGCCGGCTGATAAAGGAAGATCAGCATCAACATAAACACTGACTACAACAAGTAGAGCAAGACAAAGCCACTGACCAACCATGTATGACTATTTGTATCTCAGGAAGTACACAGCTTGTATTTATAGATATCTCAAGATAGACCTGCTCACCTACAATACTGACAAACATCTTGCCAGTATCTCAACTCCTCTGAATTGTAACACTCAACATCACATCAGAAACTGCACAATTTTACCTATAGAACTCTGTCCAGCAGAACCAACCTCACCTCAGACCACATACGATCTCTGCTCCACCTCCGTCTGACAACCACCTACTGACAATATAATGAGGTTTGTACAGACAGAAGCTCAGCTGTGCCATGAACTCACCACTGTGTCCAGTGTAGGAGATGTGGAGAGCAGAACCCTGATCTCCTTCACAGGAACTGCTCCACCTACTGGATCACATCTGGGTCAGAATCAAGACACACAAAGATGAAGCATTCACAGAACCACATCAGTGCAGCAGCAGCAACGAGCTCACTCAGGAGCAGGAAACAGTCCGGTCTACTTGACATTAAAGATGACAGAAAGCTCCCATAAAGATCAGAATTTACGGTTTGATTCTCGGCACTAACTAAAGCACGAGCTGGAAGGTATCAGAACCAGACACTGTCGGGTCAGGATGAACCCACGAGGACAGAGAGGAATATGAAGGAGCACAAACACATCAGAGAAGCACTTAAAACGTGTTTTCACTCAAACTGGACTATTGTCAGAAACACAAAAAACCCCAGAACAGACAGAAAGTAAAGAACCATCAACAGTTATTCTAACATTGCAGTAGAAGCTGAGAAAGTCAGGTTGGTCTTTAACAATCTCTGTACAACTCAACCACAGGAATATACTGAGTCAGAAGTTTGTCCAACCTGAGAACAAAACACTGGATAGTAATAACCACTTAACAACACAGCAGAACCAGCAGTCGTAGATCTGAAGAACAGAGGTCAACAATATACTTATGCAGGACAGACAAGACAGATGGTTGGAAAAAGGAGTGAAACAAACCAGAACTCCATCTGTAAACAGAGGAGGTGGTTTACGACACCAGTTATCGGACGCTTACAGTCCAGAAATCCCTCCACAGACGGTGTAACATCCTCTGAGACCTGGACTCAGAGACTCATGACAAAGAGTGAAGCAGCTTTTCTGATGAATAATCTTCAACAAACTCGGTCAGATGCTGAGAGGTTAGACGGTTGTAACAGATTCTGTTGTGACCACAGTCACATACATACACTGGTTTGTACTAACTTTCTCATCTCGCCTTCTTCCCTCTTTCCCAAATCCACTCCTCCTCTCCTCATCAACTCTTTCTTCTCCTTTCTTCCCCTTGTTTTCTCTTCTCTCTTCTGTCTTTTGGTCTTCTCACCTTTCCTCAACTTGTCTACTCTTTCTGCTTTTCCACTCCCTCATCCTGTCTTTTCTCCTACTCATTTCCTCCTGTGGACTCTTCCCATCTTTAATTTTTTCCTTCTTCTCCTCTCACCTCTCCTCTTACCTCACAATTCCTCCTTTTCTCTCCTCTCCTCATTCCACTCTTCCTCTCCTCCCCTCCTCTGGTCTCCTCACACCTTCGCCTCTCCTTTTTTGTTCCCTTTACTTCTCTTCATGCTTTTCCTCCTTTTTCGTCATCTCATTTCTCCCTCTGGTCTCCTCCCTCCTTCCCTCTCCTTTTTCTTCTCCTTATCTCCTCCTTCCACTTTCCTTTCCTCTCCTTCTTTCACCTCCCCTGCTCTTTCCTCTTCCTTCCTCTCCTTGTCTGCTCTTTCAACTTTTCCTCTCCCATCCTTTACTACTTCTCATTTCCTCCTTTGGTCTCCTTCTCACCTTCTTTCCTTTTTCTTTTTCCACTCTTCCTCTCCTTCTTTGATCCTTCCTTATTCCCTCTACTCTTTCCTCTCTCCTTTCCCTACATCCTCCTCTTTCTTCTTCTCATTTCCTCCTTTGTTTCTCTTCTTCTTTCACCTTCTGTTCTCACCACTCCTCTCCATCTTTCTTCAACTTTTCTTTCTTCTTTTTGCATCCTCTTCTTATTTCCTCTGGTCTTTTGTACTCCTCATCCTTCCTTTCCTCTCTTTTCATTCCTTCTCCTATCCTCACATCTCCTTCCAATCCTCTCTCCTTGTCTACTTCTGTCCTCTCCATGTCCCCCTCCTCTTCTTTTACCTTCTCTTCCCTTCTATCTTTCTCACCTCTCTCCTCCTCCTCAGCTCAGAGTGAAGGTATCGACGTTGCGCTCTCTCTGCAGTCGTCACACGGAGAAGCTCTCGGCGTTCAGAGCCGTTTACCCCGACATCGTTCGATCACACTTCCCTCCACTGTACAAGGAGCTGTTCGGAGCCGACCTGGAACTCGCTCTGCAGACCAGCGACTGATCGGTGATCCACGCCGAACCGAGCTTCTGGATCCAGACGCTGGTTTCCACGGACACGGAGGACGAGCCGGCGACTCACAGCCAGAGACAGTTACTGCGTGGGCGCCGAGCTCCTGAAACAGAGACATGGACTCGTCTTCAGCTCTGAGTCTGGAAGCAGCGAGGATCAGGTGGTTTCATCAACACACGTCCAGCATCAGACTCAGCTCTGACATTAAGAAGCACTTTCAGTTCTCACACTGAAACCTGGTTTCTGTTTCCTTCACCAGATTATCAGAGACATTATCAGTTACTTTCCTAGAAACACAGCGACTCTTTGCAGGACGAGCGGTTGCTGACTAAAAACCAGATGCATGCAGCGAATTCATCTTCATACGACACCCACCTGCCACAAATACACATTAGACATTACTGTAATTATTCCTCCTCGACTTACTGGCTGCACAGTAGCAACAGTCTGAAGAACAAAATCCAAAGTTCATCTGAAGTTCATACGATGCTTTGGCAGTCTGAGTTCAAATCGCAATGTCAAACAATGCAATAAACACATCGCAAATATTAGATCGTCGTCTTTTTCCCCCCAGTTGAATTTAAAAATGTGTACTTTCATATCTTCTATATTCACTACATGTAAAGTGAAATATTTCAAACCTTTTTTGGGGGGTTTTAATTGTGATGATTATGGCTTACAGCATAAAAAGTCAGAAATTCAGTATCTTAAAGTATTAGAGAATTCTCTAAGATCAGTTTAAAAAAACAAAAATGTCCAACTAGGACATTTTAGAGCACTTTTACAGACTTTAAACTGTCATTATATTACCGATTTAAGCTGCAACGTCTGTCAGAAAAATTGCAATTAAAATTTTTACCCCAAATTATTCAGTTCCAGACGGAAAAAAACAGCAACTCTCAAATATCATCAAACAGTGAGATGTGTGTGGAGCAATAAGGAATCTAACATTACTCACATTAATGTATTAAATAAACAAATGCCACATTTCCATCATGTTCTCTACTTTACTTTTAGCTCCTCTTCTTCTGCAAAATGATCAGCTGGGACCAAAAATATTAGTTGATGGATTTTTCCCAACAATAAAACATCATGTTTTTTTAAAAAGTCATATTTCACAATGAGAACAGCTATTAGAATAGAAGAAAAGGCAGCCGGAAATTTGGGCTGTTTTTGCCTGAATAATGACAAAATAGTTTTTGATGATTCTTATTTGTCACGTGACTAATTAATGAATCAGCACTTTGACTCTCTTTATGTGAACTACTGGGTGTTTAACGTTTTGTATTTAAAAGAAATACATTGCCGTAAATGGAGAAAAAGAACCGATTTGACTCACTGACTGATGAAGCCTCGTGTTGGATTCAGCTGAACTTCAGAAACACTCAGAACAACTGACGGATGAGATCACAGATGTCAGTCTCTGTGCACATCTGGAATATGGATGTTGTGTTAATGTAGAAGATCCTGTTTTAATCTGAACATTGACAGCAAACGGCTCATGTTTTATTCAGTACTGATCCGGTTAGGCTGTTAATAACTTGTCAAAGCTGGAACTCCACATCTATGAGAAGGTTTTGCAACCCAATATTATCACATCTGGAGATATCTCATTAAAAAAAAACATCTTTGGAACTAGAACCAGCAACTTAACTGCCGCCCCTTTTACCCCAGAGCAGTTCAAGGTCAGTTCACAGCCCGTGAACAATCTCAAACTGGTTCTACAGCAGCCAAAGAACCGGTTCTCTGGAGGAAATCTGGTTCCAAAACAGCATCAACGCTTTGCTGTGGTTCCTGAACTTTTCAACCCCCCAAAAATAACACCACCAGAGACTGGCGACCTCAGCTGTCCCCTGAGGTGGTTGGCCGACCCAAACGCAGACAAAACAACAACACAAAGGAACGCAACAGCCCAACAACCAATATAACGCTTTATAGTATGTAATTTAGGAAGAAACTGAGCAGCTGCTGCCCAGAGATTTGATTTTTTTTTTTTAAATTCAGTCCAGTAATCCAATTAAAGCCATAAAATGTGAAGCATTGCAGGCAGAACATGAGCAGACAGAAACACTGATGTCAACACTCCAACTAAGTCTCTTTCTTACTTGTGTGTAAATTCTACACACGAGTCAGTGCAGACATATGCCATCAGTACCCCGACTCGTTTTGTACGTTTCTTTACTAAAGTATGAGTACAGATCTGATTTGTTTTGTTTGGACGTTCACCTTCACATCTCCTCTCAGGCTGCTTTACTTGATTATCAGCTACAAAATAACTAAGAAGGCTGAAAATACACATTATTAAAATGCATTTCTCTTTTTTTTTTCTTTTTTTAATCAGAAATTATTCCCGTTCTCTCGGGGGGTCAGTGAACGCATCTTAAAATCACTGATCCCTCAAGTTTATTTTGACATTTTTCTATTTAAGAACTCCTGTTTATTTTTTTCCAAAAACTCGAGTGTTGTTTAGAGCAAAGCAGATTCATCAGCTGATCCCAGCTCGGTCTAAAATTACATCCACAAACATCAGCTGCACTCACGAGAAATAACAAGTCGATAAGTGACGAATGAGCAAGCCTGATGGCGTTTTGCTGAACCAGAATCAGTTGTTTATTAGTATAAAGAGGTGTACTGTTTACACTAAGACAGCCAGCGATAATTAACTATCCAAACTAAAGGCCAGTTCATGGTTCTGAAATGATCGGTGTGATGCCAGTTTTATCCAAACAAACCCCAAAACAAACTGTCTGCACGTGTGGCAGAAAATGAAACTTGATGCTGGTTTTGTGCTTCATCTGTATGTAAACAGTTACTCAGTCAGTTGTCTCCTCGATTAACCGCAAATTACTTTCATAATTGATAAATCAGTTTAATTTCAGGAAATGAGGCCAGATTCCCTAAATGCAGCTTCCTAAATGTGAATATAAGACATTTAAAGCTTTGAGAAACACTGATTTTATCAACCAAATAACTAATCGATTAATCAGAAATATAGTCTACAGATTCAAATAACGGTTAGTTTGAGCTCAAGTCCACATCCTCAGTCGTGTTCTTGGCAGGGTTTACTCTCGGTTTCTTCTTTTTTGGGGATTTTTTTTCACCTCCAGACAAACAACAACTCTCTAGCAGCCGACCACGTATGCAAACCCTCGATTGTAAGTTTGTATAAAAGTAAGATGAAGTTCTGTGTTTTGAGTCTGCGGCTGTCTGTGGTGACGGAAGCAGAAACCATGAATTGGGCTGAACCCAGGACGTTGTGCTGTTCTGCACTGCTCTGCGGCGTTCACTGACCCTCGTCCGGACTGGTATTTTACATTGACCACAGTGTCGCTCCTCACTGGGAAGTCGAGCTGCAGCTGATACTTAATACTGATTCTGCTGTATCAGTCAGTTAGTGTCAGCTTTGATGTTTTTTTTTTTTTTTTTTTATTTTTTTTTTTTTTTTGGCAAATCCAATGGGTAAAGTTATTATTCTTACTTTAACATGTTAAACTACAGACTTCTTGTTCTGTCCTTCAACCCTCCTGCAAATGGTTTTTGTCCTGTGCTGGTATCTGTGGTGTCCACGAGGAAAAAGAGACGAGAAACTAAACAGTTTCTAACAGCTTAAATCCAGACCTACAAGACAACCATCCTCATAAACAGACTATAATTTCTGCAGATTTAACTCAGTCTTGAACTTTGTGTGACGTTAGAGGAAACGTCTGCGCTACAGACTTTCCTCCTGAACTTTTAACTCATCAGAATTTCAGTTCCTCCTCCTCCTGAACCTCCTCCTCACCTGTCCGTCTGTTGCTTCTGTGTCCAATCGCACCTCTGAGTCAGTAGCTCCACCTGGTGGCTCTGATGCTGAAGTGCAGGGTTATTTTATTTCTGCCGGTTCTCTGCAGCTCATGTGTTTTTCATTTGCGTGAGCAGCAACACTCTTTACAACTGACATTATCATTTATTTAAACTTAACGTAATGCAGCTTTATGTCTCCCTGTAAAGCAGGTCAACACTTAGAACTGATGAAATAAACAAAAATCTTCTAAGCCCAGAGATATTTCATCCACTGAGACGCAAAACAAAGAAAATCGTCAAATTTGAAAGGCTCAGTACAGAAAGCATTGAACATTTTTGAGTAATAAATATTAAAAGTGTTCCAAAGTGATTTCCCAAATCTCAGATATTTTGGTTCTTTGTCCTTTTTAAAATCATTTCTGCTTCTACATGTCAGAAAACAGAAGAAAAACTCCCTCCAGCAGCATCGATTCATTCAGGATTCAGCGTGATTAAAGCAATATTAGGAAAACAAGCTGCCTCACAGAAAACAAACTATGCCGAGTGAAGGTGAGAACACTCCTGTCTGTCCACTGTCTCACCTACAGACTGCTGGGGAAAGACGTCGCCTCGCTTTTTATCAATCAGGTTAAAAGGCCAAAGTCAAAGAGCCGATGCTCAAACATTTGATCCTACATCTCCCATAATGCAAACTGGTTAGACTCCAGTTACATTCAAAGCTTCACTCCTGCTGTTTTTTCCACCAAACGTTTACTCTCCCATCACAACATGCAGAAACCTTGAAATGGTGATTTGTGTTTTCACAGCGGGTCTAAAGCCACAAGGAAATTGAGCAAATTGGTTTTCTGATGCATCAAACGCACAACAAATTCCCTCTGATGCTTTCATGATCAACAATGGAAGCCTGGACTTCACTTCTGTAGGTTATAATCTTTATTTTAATGCCATGATGGTAAAAGGAGGCAGTGATGGTGGTTCTGCCGCCTACAGCCTGAATCCGTTCATAACTTCTTTCAAACATCAGCTTTGTATTCAAACCACCAACCAAACAGGATTAATCTCATGAAACATCCTCACTGTTGTTGTTTTTTTCTTCCCACCTGCTTCATCTCCAAAGCCCAACAACAATCAGTATTTCTGGCAAATAATTAACTCTAGCCATAACTGAATGTCAAGCAATAATGTAAATGTTGTATTTTTAATCTTTGCTTATTGTGTATAGTTTTAAAAACACGGCATGTCGTCGCAGATTCTAATTTAAAGTTAGGATTAATTTATCTTCTGACTCCTCTGTGTTACTTTCGTCTCGACCCGTCACGTAATCACGCGTTTTTTCTCCCTCCAGGCCACTTTATGGTAACTTTATGAATTATTCTGTACAGGAAAACACGGCGACAGATGCCTGCTGAGCGTCGAACTGTTCCATCTGTTGATTTGTAAGCATCATCATGTACGATATCTGGTTTGATATGCACAGCTCTCAGTTTAGTTTTAGTTTAGTAACGGAGAGCGTTTTGTGTTTTTAATAAGCGTGTGGTGCTTTTTGTTAGCAGGTCTGGATTTTACCAACTATGCCACATTGTATGTTTCTTCACAGGGTAACAAACACGTGAAAAAAAGGAAGATTCTGGTTTTTAACAACGTGACGGGAACATTTTGAGAACGGCAGCAGGTTGTTTGACGCCACCTGTGAGCCAATCAAAATTGCGTTTACTGAACTTTTACAGAACGTTTACAGAAACTACAATTCAGGGTGATTTTTTCTGGAGGGGGGGGATTTTCAAACCAGGAAATTTCCGCCTGACTTCTGTTCTAAGTTGCATAAAACCAGAATTTTGCTTTGAGTTATTATGATTATGAAATATCATAGTACAGTATGTTATTGCCGAGGCTGCACCTGTATCAGTGTGTCGGACTCGGACCGTCGGTTTCTTTGTTTAAATTGCTAAAAACGTGACTTTTTTTGATACAAAACAAAGCTGCTGTATCTGACATGTAAAAAAAAAATAAAACAGAGAAGAGAGAAATGCGTTTGTCTGTGTCGGTTTCTTTTGAATTCCATTTATTTATGAGTCAAGTATGAACAAACAAGCTTCTGTGGCTGAGATTTTAGGTGGAGTGTTGCTTTTAATTGAGGCAGCCTTTGAGTTTTATAAGATTTTAGTAAATCAT